TACATATGTATATCAAGGTATTGTAATAACGGATCAAAGGGAGCAGCTGGGGGAAAAGGTGACGGCACGTAAACGACAGCTGCTATTTTTTTTCTACTTCTCCAAATAAATTGCTTGGCAGTGTTTTGTGTATGTATGTATGTCCAATCAAAGGAAACAGCAGCTGTGTACGAGGAAATAGCATTAAGATCTAAAAATAGTTTAAACAACCACAATAATAATATATAATAATACAATTTACTCCAATGTGCCAAATTAAATATAAATCATTACTTGTTTAAAAATAATACTTTATATGTAATTCAGTAAGAAGGAGAAAAAAAATCGTGTGATTTATTTTGAGTGTTAAATAATATAACTCTTGCTTTTATTGGTGTAATTTTGTTTAGATGATGTGTTTTTTAATGCATAATATACTTATGCAGTGTTCTGCAATTTAATAAAATTTACCTGAATCGTTACATATGTGTATTTGAAAGCAATCCAAACAAGGAAGCCACTCACGAATATAAGCATTTAGATTTCCAATTTGCATTATTTTGGGCAGTGAAAAGTTCAAAATGTTCCCCTATTCAGGACGACAGCGGTTACGCACGCCAGCTGCCCTCTTGTCGGGCCCAAAAACCAACCTTTTAATAACAACCATTAAATTTTCAATATGTCTGATAATGCTGCAAGTGGCAACGGCATTGACGGAGTATACACATTCGCACCAGCACCATCACCGCCATCAACAACACGCCAGCTTTATAACGACTTCCACAGCCGCAGACATCGCGAAACATGTCACCAGTAGCAGCAGCACCACCGTTCCGACAGCGGGTATTCAGCACACCAATTGGCGCCGCATAGAAATGATGGATGCCAATGGCCTATACTGGCTGGAGTGGTGGCTTAAAGGGTCTACATCGCAGGAGATATTCTTCCGTGTCACCGTCAATACACGCGGCTTCATTGGGCTCGGCTTTGCGCGAAAGAGTCCCCGCATGGCCAATGCTGATTTGGTATTGCTTTGGGTCGATGATCGAACCGGCAAAGCGAATGCGCTGGTGAGTTAACTATGCTTTAACGTATTCCCAAGAGTATTTATAAATATTTGTGTATCTTATATCAGTTGTAAGCCGTCGATAGAAAATCGGCTACGGGGGTAAATATGTGAGTGGGCCTCCCTCTCCCCACAGAATAAATTTTCATTTTCGATTTCCAACGGTTTCACTCCATACTTGTTCAGTGTTTTTTTTCGTAATAGATATGTATATGGAGTATGATTTTTTCGTTAAAAAACTTCTTTCGTCTTAATAGAGAACTGTTTTTTCTGTACAGATCAAATGAATGCGTAAAATAGTTTTTCCTAGCTTTAGTCAAAGTGCGTTCTGAAATTTAATTGGAATGTAAAGAAGTAGAGATAGCAAAAGTTCGTAGGTAATAAAAGAACATAAATATCAAGTACAACAATTTTATTTGGATATAGACATAGTAGTATAATCGATTTCAAAATGTGCTTTTATTTTTCTATACATAGGTACATGGGGAAATCTTTTGAGGCGGACACATTTTGCGTACTGGCATATTAGTTGTGTTTATTTGGGTTATCCAGCTCAATATCACGATCATTTCTCACGGAAACGGTCTGGATCATTCTTATTAGAGTTGGCAGCACTAATTTTATAATAGGTTCATTCCTTATCTTTTTGGACTAAAATCTGAAAAGTG